CAAACAGCAGCAGCAGCAGCAGCAGCAGCAGCAGCAGCAGCAGCAGAAGGAATGAGTTGGCTTCTTAAAGGGGCCAGCGTCGGGGATAGGGAGAGTCGCTCAGTGAACACCACTCTTTGGAGAGGTGGCTGGGTTGCCTCTAAATCATTCTTTAGGGTTTCCCCTCTCTGGCGTTTCCCTTCTGGTAAATTAAGATTGAAACTAAGCAGCGGGCCGCTCAAGGAAAAAAGAAGAGACAAAAATGTGAAATAAACACATACTGAGATGCACGCGTTCCGAGTGGCTTTCGCGCCTGTTCCGGGGTTCGAGATCCCAGGTCCGCGGACACCGTGCGCGCAGATGCCCGGGACAGCGCGGCTCTGCTGGCTGCGGGTTTGTGACTGCGTCTGCGCTCCAGAGAAGCGACAGGAGGTGTGCGAGCAGGGACCGCACGGGCTGGGTACGCCTGAGCAGTGCCAGGGGCAGCTAATCCCGGGGGGAGGGTGGTTGGGAGGGACCACGCTGGTCTGATTCTCCACTCCATCTGCTGGCGGCAGAATTCCCTCCCTCAGCATCTTTCAAAAATCGGACTCCTGCGGTTAAACTGGCCTCTGTAAAGTGCCAATAGTACTCTGCAGAGAAAAAAGTGCCTCTCCAATGATGGAGAGCAATACTGGGGAGGTTCTTTTGCCCTGGATCAGGGAAAGAGAGAGAAGCCAGACTTGATTTTTGAGTTCAAGTTTCCCCTCCAACCCCAGGGGCAGATTCTGGGAAGTGAGAAGAATGCAGAAGGAAAGAGGAGGAGGCTAATAGCCTGCCCTTTTGTAGAGCAAAACTTTAGGTCCCTTGGGCCTCATCAGAAGTTCCTTGAAAAATAATTGCATTCAGAAATGATTACTGAAGGCCTCCTTGTGCATGACATTAGTCACAAGTCTTGTAAAGAAGAAACTACCAAGTGTTTTCAGAATCCATAGCTTTATATGAACAATCTGGATCATAGTCATGGACATTTTATTCCCATTTTAAAGATGGCACTGAAGGGCCTGCATGAGTTCACTGTGAAAAGTGGTGGTTGAAATCAGATGTGCATCCTTGTACACTTAATTTTCCTGGTTCAGAGCTGATCCTCACTAACTTTTCACAAGTATAACCAGAATTTACTATAGTCTGCATCCTATTGTCCTTTTCTTACCTCCATGTCCAAAGCTTGAGTCCCTAATGAGTATAATTAAAATCTCTCCTAATATCTTCCCCTCCTCTAAGTGTGTGTGTGTGTGTGTGTGTGTGTGTGTGTGTGTGTGTGTGAAAGGAAGCCTTATGAGCAGCTTTGGGTCCAAATCAAGGCCTTCAGTCTCTAAAAAGACCTTCTCTTGCTCAGACCCTTGTTTTTAATTTTAAAAGAGAAAACTCCTAGAATTTTTAGGCCAGCCTAAATTATGTGATATATATGTACAACCTACTACTCTACAATCAGAAATGAAAATGCACGTATAGGTTGTGATCAGCAGTTTACTTAGAACCAGTCAATGTGTTGCTTAAATGCCAGGACTTGAGAATTAGACTGCCTGGGTTAGATTTAGGCTCTTACTTATCAGCTAGTGTGGCCTGTCTAGGAAATTTCCTTAATCTGCAGAGGCAGAATTGTGTAGTGCCTCTGGAGTCAGACTGCCTGCATTCTAACCCACCATTTCCCACCTGTGTGAACCTGGACAAACAGCAGGAATTTAAACTCCCAGTATACTCATCTGTCAAAAAGGGGTGCCAGAACCTATTGCATTGGTTATTGTGAATATTAAATGAGTGAATGCATGCAGTGTGGCCCATGGACTTGTAATGTGCTGGGGGTAATAACAGAATGAGATTACATGCATGGAAAGCACTTGGTGTATATTAAGCGCTCATAAATGGTGGCTGCTATGTTATAGCAAAATATCATTGGAAGAGTTGAAAAAGAGTTTAAAATTAAATTTAAAGGTGAAATGGGGGTTAAGAATAAGAATTTCCGACCAAAATTTAAAAAAAATCCCGTTTTTATAAAGCAAACAAAGGGAGTCCCTTCACCTCACCGCCTATTGCTCCTAAACAAAACGTATATGTATTTTCCACTTTAATGTTCACTATCTTGGTGAGTAGATGATACATTTGCATCTGCTTGCTTTTATTAAATCTGATAAGTTGCTACTTCCCTCGCTATATAATTTTGCATGGGGCTCAAGATAGCTGTTAAATTAAATATATCCTTAGGTTCTGGGAAGTAACTCTGAATGGCTAACTTTTGGGCATGAGGTTTCCTTTTAATAATATGCTTCTGTTTTGACCAGAGTGTGTAAAGAAAGAGCAATTACTGTCGATGACTTTGGGTCAGTTTCTTATCTTTGACAACTCTTTGGGGAGAGCTTCCTTAGAGAAAGTGAATATTTGAAATGGTATCTTAAGATTTCAATTTCACACAGAGTGGTTGTAAGAAATAACTGCCTACCAGTGGGATTTCATTTCTATTCAACGGGCAATTAAATTGCTCAAATTTAAGTTTAACATTTAGAATCAAATCTCTAAATGTGTTTTTATTATGAATAATTTTAAAGCAATCATGACCTTATTGTATCCTTCCATAGCAACCTTATGCCTTATGCAGAAGAGGGACTCAGTAATTGTGAGGCAATTCGAACATGTAAAATGGTTCTTGAGAGCTGGGGGAATCTGTACTCGATCCTAAACCAGTGGGATTGCAGTTTAATTCCTTTTACCCTCCTCCGACTCCTTGCAAATCTTAAATACCTTAAAATTTAGAAAATTTCCAGTTTTCTTTCCTGAGTGTGAATGTCAGAGGAAGACTGAACAGTTTGCATGACGAATCTGACCCTAGGTGGATTACTTTCTTCCTGTTGGCATTTTTCTATTCTTTTTGTGTATTACATCTACAATTGTTTTCTGGGGAAGAGCAGTTTCAAGTGACTAAGGCTTCATTTTTTGCTAAAATGGGCTTCTAATAGAAAGGAAAATGCAAATGTCATTGGGAACATGCCAAGAATGACAATTTACCTCTTTTCTTATTTCCCAACCATTAGAAGCCAAGTTGCATCGTATGCATGTTAGTTGTGACATTCACATATGGAAACAAAAATAAAGATTTGTCTTAATATGGCTTCAGTTCCCATGCAGAATTCTTTAAACTACTCAGTTGTCTCAGGCATCTGGCTCCTAAACCATTTCAGAACATTTCAGGGCATGTTAATGGATGTTTTCAGGATGTTGGACTTATCAGTGATAAATAAAGCAGGTGTCCTATATAGTGAAAAAAGGCCCCAAAAAATCTAAAAAAGAGAAATCTGTATCAACTGAGTTTAGGAGAATGAGCATAGGTGTCAGAAGACAGCTCAGCTATTTACTAGCTGTGTGATTTGGGGGAAGTTACCTAACTTCTCTGAATCTCAGTTTCTGTATCTGTCAAATGGAGGTGATAGTAACGCTTGGCAGGGCCAGGACTAGGGTGAGGTCACTGGGATGCCTGCTCACGTCACAAGATTTTTAAGAGGATTCAATAAAATAACGTGTGTAAAAATGCTTCGTACAGTGATGGTGCGTAGTAAATGCTCAGAAACGATACCTGTTTTACCACCCCATCTTCTAGAAGTCATCATCACTGTATAAGGAAGCAACAATCTTCCAGCTAGTCAAGACATCTGCCAAAGGAAGCTGAGACTGGGGTGCTGTAGAAAGAGCTGAAGTGAGCCTAAGAGACCAGCTGACCTCAGGCTTGGGGAGCCTCCATTTTTTCAACCAGAAATGCAGGCTTGTGTCCATTTAGGACCTGAGTAGGCTGCTCCATTGCTTCCCTACCACATTGCCTGCTTCGGCCGCATCCCTGATTTTATCCTTCTTCCAACCACTTCTAAATCACCTTTTACAACTAAGACAAGAGGCAAAATCAAGTGTTAAAGTAACTGCCCCTAAATGTCACAATTCCACAGCGAGGTCTTAGCAGAGTGAAGCTCACAGCCTGTCCACATGGGGGGAGCTTCAGAAATGTGATTTCCCAGCCTGCTCCCTGGAGCATGAGGGGTTCTGAAGTGCCTGCTCCAGCGGCAGCCGCCCAGCGCTTACTGACCTCAGACATGTTGCGCTACCTCTCTGGAATTTAGCTTCTGCATCTGTAAAATAGGCATATTCAGATTATCTCATGGAGCTGTTGTAAAGGTTCTGGGACATGAAGCAGATAAGGTGCTTGGAAAGGAGACTGGCACATAGTAAGCTTCTGTGGAAGATTTTGTTTATACCCAGAGATTCCAGCTTTAAAATCTTTGAACACCCATTGGTGATCCAGACTCCCTTTGATGGACAAGGCAAATGAGACAGAGGGTCAACAGATCCTGCTTCTGCCTCTGCCATCATCAAATCCTCCCCTACCTTTTCTCTTGGGTAATGGACCCTGAAATTATTTGCTGTTCCAAGTTCGAGGGGGAGTCAGAGCTGGGTGAGCTGACTCACTGAGCTGTCCTGGTACTCTTTGTTCACTCGATCCATTTTCTCCCTTTAGCTCCTCAGAGGCAGCTCCACGTGAGTGACACCCACATTGCCTAGGGCCCTGGAACGGAACATTTGAAATCCAAGCTCCTTTCTGTGGCCTAGAAAACCTTATACTATCTGACTATCTGACCCCTATTAATTTTCCATCACTCCCCTGCCCCCTACTATCTCTGCTCAAACCTCACTGACCTTTTCTCTATCCTTAAGACAAACCAAGCTGACTTCTATCGGAGGGCTTTTTCATTTGCTCTTTCCTCTGCCTGAGATGCTCTTCCTCTAGCTCATTCTGTGGCTCCCACGTACTTCACTTAGGTTCAAATGTTTATCCTCATAAGAGCCTTTTAAAACCCCATGTCTCATCATTCTCCATCCCCTTATCCTGCTTTAGTTTCTTCCTAGTATCATCATTACTTCCACTTTTTAAAAAATTATTTTACTTTTTATTTTTTTATTTTTGGTGGGAGGAGGTATTTAGGTTTATTTAATTTTGGAGGAGGTACTGGAGATTGAACCCAGGACCTTGTGTATGCTAAGCATGTGCTCTACCACTTGAGCTGTACCCTCCCCACTTCCACTTTACTACATTTGTATTTGTAGTTTTTTGTGTGTTTTTTTATTTGGCCTTTCTTTGCAGCTAGAATGTAAACTCCATGAGAATAGAAATTCTTTGATTTTTTTCCCCTTTGTGTCTTCAGGACTTAGGATGTGCCTAGCACATGGCAAGCCTTCAATAACTATTTATTGAATGAGTGAATGAATGAATGTACAAATGGCAGCCCTGCCCTCCTTGGCCAAAGCATGCCTGCACTATGCTCTCTCAGCAACAGTTGAGAAGGAACTTGAAGATCCCTTGTTTTCCTTGAGCATCACTTTGGGGAGAAGAAAAGGGCCCAGATACCGTTCAGATTCAGACTGAAGAGTTTGGTTTGGGAAAGCAATCAGGCTCCTTGCTGCTGGGAACACTCAGATACAGGTGGTGTCAGGAGGCCACAAGTTCCCTCTCTGAAGCTTGCTTCTCCACTGCAGGGCCCCCTGTGTCCCCAAGGAGACGTGGCTACAGAGGACCAATGTGCAGAATGCAGTCAACTATATGGGTAAAGGCACAGGCTTTGGAGATAGACAGGCTTCTGTTTTAGTCCTGGCTCTTTTAGCTATGTGGTTTTAGGCAAATCATTTGACAGCTCTGAGCCTCAGTTCCATCACGTGTGAAATGGGGATAATTATATCTTCATCACGGGGCTGTAGGAATAAAATGAGATCATGCATGGCAAATGCTTAGCACAGTGCTCAATGGACGGCAGCTATTATTAGAATTAATTAAGCAAAGAGAACCTCAGAGGAGGATAGTCAACCAGGGCAGGTCTTTCTTGACTGCACAGAGCGTTCTGCCACAGGGCTCAGTCCAGGAAGGGTGGGATCAGCCTCCTTGCCTGGGGGACCCTTGTCTTATCTCATCTGCACTGGTTATCCCCCGGGGGAGAGGTGCATTCGGCAGACACCTGGCCCAGCTTCATGCTTGGGAAGGTGCTATAGAGGGATGGTGTCAGGAACTTGTCCTGGCCCCTGGCTCCTTAGAGTCGGGGATTTCTGGTCTGAGATACTGCGCTCCTTCTGTTGGAGGAGGGGCCAGGCTGCTTCTGGGGAAGCTGAGTTTTCTGGCACTCATGACTAGCCGAGGGCGCTGAGCCTGGCAGGGGAAGGAGACTCTGACCTTCCTGATGATGCTTGACTTCCTAAGCTCCTAACCTCAGTGGAAAGGAGCCTTGTGATGATGCTTTTAGAAATACCTATTGCTGAGGGAGGTATCTTTCAGCAAAAAAACAGGGAAAGAGCTGCTTGCTTC